AATATGGGAAGACCAACCATGTCATATGAGAGTCAAATCTGAATGAGTGAGTAGATTGTTTGACCAATGGATATAGTTTCCCTCAATCCAGTTTTGATACATATTGAGATTAAGCTTCTTGGCAAGTACCTGAAGTGTGGGTGTTCCATACATCAGGCACAAACCATTTATATGTAGGATTTAAGTAGTTTTGTGAAAACTTAGTTTTACCCAGATAAACTTTGTGGGAGTGCTTGATTCCTATCTGCTACATTCCTGCCTTGTTTGAAGGTGTAAGGAGCAGCACTCTTCCATAATATCCGGAACTGGTAAAGTCATTAAGAAATAGAGTTAAAGAAAAAGGGCTGTCAGTACACAGCTCTGTTTTATGCTGCTGCAAACCACTTGCTTCAGCAGGCCATTCCTATGACAGTGGACTCTTGGTAAATACAAGGAGGTGGTGTTTTTAATTATGTCCGGTAATAGATATGGCCTCAGCTTTTTAGCAGTACTTTATTTTTCAACTGCTTAAAATAGTTTTACATTTGGGTTTTTTTTTCATATTATATTCAGCATATTATTTTCCCTTCTTCTAAAACCTGCCTCAGAAAACTACCAGTCATTTCCATCTTTAGCCTTTCAGTTCACAAAGCTGACTTGGTTAGTCCTTGGCTCACGTTATACTCCATCACCTCCTTCTTTGTCCCCAGTCTCCCATCTTACTCTAATTAGATTATACATTCTCCTAGGGATGGATTGCATTTTATTCACCTTTATTTATAGTAAAACTTCATATCACAGAGTTCAGCAGAATAGTCAATGATTGAAAGGCTATGTATATGTAGCTCACATCTTCAGCTATATTGTAATAAGACAGGGACTATGTAAGTCACATGCAGCTTTTCATAGATGAGACACAGGTTACATGGGACACAGATATGTTTGATTTGTATATTTGGTACCTGGTAGATCCTCAGTAAAAAGGAAAAAAACCAAAACTGAATAATTGACACTAAGAATATAGTTACTTCTCAGTGTTGCAGTGGAGGAAAGCATTGAATGTGGATAGTAGTTAACTAGAAATCATTTCAGTTGAGATACAATGAAAGTTTTCCAATTGGATTGTGGGCAGTTGTATTTGGTGATAAAGATCCTCTAAAGGGGATCCACCTTTAGGACCAATATCATATCTTTGAGAAATCCATCTTTAAAACCAGGAGCAAGTTAGTAGACAAGGTCAAAAAGAAAAATCCCACTTTGCATAATTCCCTTTTGACTATAAAGCTGTTTTTTCCCCCAAGTCATTGTTAGCTGCTTCCATCCTAGTCCAGGCCTCTCTTACCTTCTACTTGTAGCCTGCCCTTTCTCTCTTATCTCCTGTACGTTATCTCCAAAACAATCATCATGGAACATCAATTTTAGAACATTGCTCTGTTCTTAAGAATTGCAGTGATTGCTGCATTGTTATAATTTCTTTGGGCTGTCTGCATCAGTATTCAGTGTAATTTTTACTTTTTCTTAAAAAAGGCAACAGAACAATATGTTTTCTGTTATTATTTGTATGCTTAGAAGTATTAGTAAACTTTTTCCTCTGAGTTTTAAGGTAATGTGTTTTACCTTAAGGTAATGTGTTTAAGATTTGCGTGTGTGACTTTGGTTAAGTTTATCTAATTGTCACTGTCCTTTGCATTTTTAAGCAAAACCAGAAGAGTAATCAATATGCACATTAGAAGATTAAGTGGTCTTTAATTTTTAAAGTTTTATTATAAAGTTGAGACAGGCAGTTGATTTTCTATAGGATTTTTAAATTGGTTTACTTTTATGACATTAGTGTTAAATCTTTTAAAAGAAAAAAATTACATCAAATCCAGCTCTAAGCAGCTGGATTTAAATGTATTTTATTGCCCATATTTCAGAATTTGAAAAAGAATGATGAGAATAAAGTAATACAGTACATCTTTTATTTCTGAGGACATGGTAAATTTTTAATCTCAGTTTTACTGTGATTCCTTTAGCAGACATAGAAATGCTTATCCGATCCTTACCGTGTGTGGATTACCATAATATTTGGTAGAGACATAATGAGGAATATGTCAGGTTTGCAGCTTTGGAGCAGTGTTGTTGAGGAGACAACATCAAGGCAGATAATTACTGTGTGATGTGAGAAATGTTAAATATGTGTATGTACAAAGAACTATGAAATCTCAGAGAGGAGGGAGTTACTCTTTTTTTTTTTTTTTTTTGTCAAAGCTAAGCCCCTCAGCTGGTTGCTGAGAGCTTTGCTGCTGCTGCTGCTAAGTCAAGTCGCTTCAGTCATGTCCGACTCTGTGCCACCCCATAGACGGCAGCCCACCAGGCTCCGCCGTCCCTGGGATTCTCCAGGCAAGAACACTGGAGTGGATTGCCATTTCCTTCTCTAATGCATGAAAGTGAAACGTGAAAGTGAAGTTGCTCAGTCGTGTCCGACTCTTTGCGAGCCCATGGACTGCAGCCTGCTGGGCTCCTCCGTCCATGGGATTTTTCAGGCAAGAGTATTGGAGTGGGGTGCCGTTGCCTTCTCTGGAGAGCTTTGCTAGTGGTGTTTAAATACCATTGATAAGTGTTAGATTGAATCTGTGAAATTGCCATTATCAACAGTTTTATATGGTTTAATATGTATGGCAATTTAAAAAACATACTTAATACCTTTTGCTAATACTTCTTGACAGTGGCTATATAATATTTTATTAAAATAAAGCTTTTGAAAAAAATAAAGCTTTTGAACGTTGAAGAATACTGAAATGTGCGGTTTTTGGAAAACATTTTAAAGCTCACTTGGTTTCTTTTTTTTTTTTTTAATCATATATGAAAGAATTTTATTGACTAAATTGCTTTGGAGTTATAAGTTATTGTATAATTGCTTATAACTGTGGAAATACACTTACTTGATTTGGAAAATTTTGCTTTCAAGGCTTTACTCCTTTCAAACACTAGAGAGGCAGATTCGGTTCATTGTTTGCCCCTGAGGAGATAGTCTGGTACTAGAGACGGCATGTATACAGTTACAAAGAATGTGGAGGTAGCCCAGGGTAAAATCAGTGATTTTTCAAATTTTTCTTAACAGTGGAAACTTCTCCAAAAAAAACTTGTGTGCAGAAATACAATGAGTGAACAGATTAAAAAATGGAATCCTGCTCTCTTGGCCTCCCCTCTGTCCTCATTCCTACTGTTTGAAACCTTTTGTGTGGAAGTAAAAAGCAAACCGGATTTGAATCCTGACTGGGCCACTGTTTAACATTTTGACCTTGAGTACGTGCTCTAACCTTGGTGAACTTGTTTCCTCATCTGTTAAATAAGTGTATTAGTGGTTTTTTGTTTTTGTTTTTTTTGCTGAGAGTTGTAAGAATTAAATATTTCGGGAAAAGAACCTAGCCTATAAAGCCATTCTGTACATGGTAGCTATTAGGATTGTATGTACATGGCACGTGAGATTAAAGACTAGGCAGCAGGCTGCTCCACTGAGAATAGTCTGAACAAAGAAGGCGTCACAGAGGTGGTGATGGGTTGCCTTCGGGGTGAATCTTGAAGGGAAATGGAAAATTGCAAGACATATGGGTGAGGGGGCAGATACCCAAAATGAAATATTTCTATAATGAAGACTTGGGCATGAGGAATGCTGCCTCTTTATACCTCTCTGGAGATAAATGGCCTCACTTGAATTCTGCTTGACTTTTCCTTACATTCTTTAACTCACACTTTAGTTTTAGGCAGGCTTAAGCCAGGGTGAGAGTCGCTGACTTTTCTTGGTTAATTAAATTGGCTACTTAAGTAAAGGAAAAAGTATGCTAAACCTGAATTTGTAAGCCATGTCTTGGTTATAGTGTAATCATGTATTTATAGACAAGTTCTTCCTAACTGCCATTGCATTGTGTGCTGTGCTTAGTTGATTAGTCATGTCTGACTCTTTGTGACCCCATGGACTGTAGCCCACCAGGCTCCTCTGTCCACAGGGATTCTCCAGGCAAGAATACTGAAGTGGGTTGCCATGCCCTCCTCCTGGGGATTTTCCCAACCCAGGGATCGAACCCAGGTCTTAACTGCATTACAGGCAGATTCTTTACTGTCTGGCCTACCAGGGAAGCCCACCAGGGAAGCAGTTGCATTAGTGTATTGAAAATTAGAATCCTGTGTCCTCTTTTGAGGTCTTAGTGTAGATCTTTGTAAATACTTACTTCAGTAGGTAGTGAGGGGTTTTTGTTTTTGTTTTTTGCTTGAGATTCAGATTAATGAGATTACTGCTGTGAGTAAATTCAGGTGGATGTATTTGGACTGTTGAGGGAAAAAAACTTAGAATATTAGTTTCTAGGAAAAGCTGATAAACTCATAATTGGATACTTTTTCTGCCTCAACAGTGATTTTTTTTTACAACTGTCAAATTTTAGATAAAACATTTCAGTATGATAACAAATGAAAGGGTATTAAAGTAGAGGAGATGTGGAAATGTTTTAGTCTCTTTATCTCTTCCTGTGTGTGTGTGTAAAATCATAAAGCGCTCACTGTGCACCAGGCACTGTTCTGAGCAATTTCCTCACATGTGTCAATCATTTAATCTGCCTGTCAACCCTGTGAAAGAGGTTCTACTGCATTAACATTTAAAGTGGCCTGTACCGGGTAACTTCATTTGTCTAGGTAAGGGGGCTTGCAAACTATGTCTGACAAGCTGGATCCTCCCTGCAGTTTTTAGTGGTTGGAAAGAGCAAAGCAATCTTTCGTAAAAGTTTGTTTTATAAACATTTTTATACAATTCTGCTTCTGAAATAATTTCCAATTTTAATTTTATAAATTAAGTTACATGAAATTGAAATTTCAGTGTCTATAAAGTTTTATTGATATGGAGACACAGATATTCCACAGATTGTTTATTGTTTGCTTTCTTGCTGCAGAAACCATAAGGTCAGCAAAACTTAAAATATTTATCAATACTGTCTATCCATTTATAAAAAGTTTGCCGACCCCTGGTCTAGATACAGAAGAGAAGAGATAGGATGAGACAAAAGCAACAAAGTAATATAGTTACAAAAGAATGTATCTTTATTAGAACATTCCAGGAAGACTAGGGTTAGATAGAGTTGTCTAAGGAGCAAGCCAGCAGTATTTTCTTCTTGAAGGATTAAAAAAAAAATCTTTAATAACAGCTTCACTATAATGAAAAATGCCTAATTACTTCAAAGTGTTGTATTGACCTTTTTTTTCTGTTAGTATAAGATGTCTCCTCAAGATATATCTGAAGGGCTTTGTAAATATTTATTTGAATTTGGGTGACAGTTGTTGCAGTTACCTTTGAAACCTGAGTACTTTGGCCTGCTGATTTGATTTTTGCCCTTGGAACTCATCTGAGTTCTGACATTGAAGATTTCTTGATTTCCCCTTCTTTTATAATTTTGCCTTTGGCCATTTAGGACTGGTTACAGTCTGTAATGTTGAGTATATGGTTCTCTACTGAGGGATGTGCATCATAATCATCTGGAGAAGATTTTAAAATCTCTGTGGCACCTCAGAGTTGCTAGGATAAGGCCTGGCATGATTATCTTCAGGAAGTTTCTCAGGTGATTCAAGTGTAGACTCATGGTAAAATCCATAGTTACCCCGCTTCTCCTTCAGCTACTTTAGTACATCCAACTGGAAAAAAATACAAACGTGGCATTCATTGTTTTGTGTCCCAGAGGTGTTTCTCAGCCTAAAGATTCATTACCTAAATTTATGTAAACTCATAGTAGAGGTCATCAGCATCAGTTTGGTGAAGTCATTTTTTATTTTGATATCATTCAGTATAATAATAGAATGCAAGTTGGAATTTTTGTTAGAGAGCAGGTAGTATAATTCAATATTGTTTATTTTTATGAGAGACATATTTGGCATCATAGAATCCCAGTGAACCTAGATATAATGGATTCATTGAAGTAGAACACAATTTATAGGAGACAATATTTTTAGGAGGAATAGTTTATATTCCAGGACTGTTTTGTTTTGTCAGTGGTTCTGTCAGTCTGTATGTCTGTAAAACAACCTTTTGAATAGATCTTTTCCCCATTTTCATTTAAGTATATTTCTACATCAGAGTGAACTTAAAAGGAAAAAAATGACCTGCAATTTCTAAAAGCATGTTAAAACAGCAGATAGTTATCTTTTTTCACGTTCTGTTTCACTGTTTATAGACGCAAACAGTTGTATCACACAGAAAACTGATTTGAGATAAAAAGCAGTAGGAAGGGATATACATACAGTCAAATCTAAGCGGGTCAGAATTCCACTTGGAACCCTCAGGTGTTCAAAATGGCTTCATGCCTTAAGTCAAAGAAGAGAAAGATTTTAATCAACAAAGAAGCAATCTTTGAGCATCTGTCAACAGGTGATCACTGTGGGGACAAAGATTATATCTTGCATGTGTTCGGTGGGTGTGTAAGGATGAGAAGGCGTACTGATCAATGTCCGTGAAGGGAAAGCCAAGAATGATGAGGTAGACAGGCAAAGAAGAAAGAAACAAGGAGAGGAAGGAGAAGAGCTGGAAAGTCAGCAGTAATGAGATGGTGCTTATAAGTTGCAGTGGCAGTGGATATCAAAGACTCCACTTGCAGTGGGGACAGTGACAGTGAAACAGAGGATGGGAGAGTTCTCAGTTATCTGTTTTGCACCTCAGTAGCCATTTGTTTGATGCTGAAGCTCCAATACTTTGGCCACCTGATGCGAAGAGCCAACTCATTGGAAAAGACTCTGATGCTGCGCAAGATTGAGGGCAGGAGGAGAAGGGGGCAACAGAGGGTGAGATGGTTGGATGGATGGCATCATCGACTCAATGGACCTAAGTTTGAGCAAATTCCGAGAGATAGTGAAAGACAGGGAAGCCTGGTATGCTACAGTCCATGGGGTTGCAAAGATTCGGACATGCTGAGTGACTGAACAACAAGTCTTTTGTTCAGGATGTTTCTCTTTGTCTATTTTAAGTAGGGCTCGGTCTGTTATATCTGATAATCCTTAAGGGCTTTGATTACCTGGTGAGTATCCAGGGAGTAGAGTTTAAGCAGTTTGAGGGGTGAAGAGTATTCATTCCAATAGAGTTTAGTGCTAGGCTAAGGCTCCGATATTAATGTCTGCTATATTATTGTAACAGAACTGAGGGCTTGGGGGCATATTATTAGGGTTCTCCAGCCAGGCACCCAGTAGGATTTATGTGTATATTGAAAAGAAAAAGTGACTACAGTCAATCTCTGGGAGAGGGAGAGAACGGAGGGAGAGATTTTAAGGAATTGGCTTGTGTGGTTGTGAAGGTTGGCAAGGCCAAATTGTAACTGGCTGGTGACCCAGGGAAGAGTTGATGTTGCAACTCCCAAGTCCAGAGGCAGTCTGCTGGCCTTGCACATCTTTCTTTTCAGGCCTTCAACAGATTGGATGAGGCTCACCCACATTGTGGAGGGTAATCTGCTCTACTCAGAGTCTGCTGATTTAAATGTTGATTTTCCTGGTGGTCCACTGGCTAAGGGTCTGTGCTTCCAACGCAGGGGGCCCAGGTTTGATCCCTGATCAGGGAACTGGATCCCATAGGCTGCAGCTAAGAGTTTTTAGAAGAGCGAGAGAAAAAAAAATACTATTTCTACTTTCTTCCGATTTATAATCTAAAGCAGTGGAGCATCTATTTGCAACACTTGCCTTTAATACTAAGAGTTACTAGACTTGATATTGGTACGAGTAATTCTCAGTGGAAAAGGTGGTATCTTAATCATTGGCCCAAAGCTAATTGAAAAAATGTAAAATATTTTGAATGTAAATTTTGGATGAGTGACTTAAATCTTGCAAAATGAGATATAGTAGTCAGCTGTAACTAATAGGAAAGTGAAGAAATGGTGTAGCTATTGGAAGAATTTTACTTTTACAGAAAGTGAACTGTGCCTTTACTTAGTCCATCCCTCAATGATGACCCATCCTGGTCCTTCTTTGCTTTAGTTTTTTTTTTTTTTTTTTTAATTAGTTTTTGTTATTGCTTGCCAACAGCAGGTCCCAGTGAATCGTGGGCCTCCAAGCTGAAGGAGAATAAGAACAGGTGGACACTAAAGCCTAGGTATTTGATGAAGAACTTTCAGTGATCTAGTGTTTTCAAATTGTGGGGGGGTGGGGGGGTGGAGAAAATCTAACTTCTTCATATTAATCACACAGCACAGGATACTGCAGGGACCATTAGTGTTTTAATTATTTTTGACATCTTTGTTTTATTAGAAAACAACCTCAAAACTCTAGAAGCTTATCTCTGTAAGTGGAGAAGTGAGGAAATCACAAAAATTGATTTAAGGAAATGAAGTTGCTCTTGAGGGTACTTTGTTGTCTGATGTAGTCTTACAGAATTAAACTGTAAATTTAAAAATTTAAATTTGACTGGGGTGTTTTTCAGAATAGGCAATGCATTAATTTCATAGGTATATTTTTTAAAATTATTTGACTGCATTGCAGTATAGCATTAATGATGTGGTTTAAAACTGTTTTTACATAGAATAATAGTCAAAGTCAAATACTGAGAACTTAGAGAAACCAGTAGTAACCTCATGTTTGGTGCCATGATACCGAGCATTACTTGGTGAAGTGATGGAGAATTTGCTGGCACACCCTATATGTCCACCACTATTTAAATGGAAGAGTGATGGTCCTCCTTTTTACTTCTGTTCAGTGAGGACTTTGCAAATCAAAACATATATGTGTATGTTCTGTTGGGTTAATTATACAGAAATCAGGATGATTTTGATGGTTCACACAATTTGGGGATGGTGAGGGGAGGAGAAGACAGAAAAAGTGAAAAAAATTTTTATCCAAGGAGCCAGGACCTTGTTTTGGGAGATGACCAGTTTCATTTCTCATGAAGCACATAGTTTATTGGCAAACAGGAGATTTTTATTTAACTCTAGAAAGCTAGTATGAAAAGGCACTCAGTAATCCTTGACAATAGCTTCTGTCTTTCCTCATTGCTGTATCTGGACTGTATTATTTGTATTAGGGTTAGGAACTGTAACCTGCTGTTCAAGGAAGGTAGGTAATCTGCATTGTTGAGTGACAGTTTCATGAGACCAGGAACCATTGGTAATCCCTTAGTGTAAAAGTCTTAGGTGAATTTCTTAAACTCTTCTACATCTAATATTAATAATAAGTAAACCTGACAGCATTCTTTATGTCAGTACGCCTCTACTGTTAACATGTAATTGGCTGTTTATGTTTTCCCTCATGTACATCCTTTATCTTCTATATTGTTTTCCCCTGTTTCATAAATTCCTGCTTAGCAAGAAACAGTGTACAGAATGGATTATTGATGAAATAGTATTTTATAAAAGTTTTGGTAAGTGTGAAACCTATGTTATTAACACACTGAAACAAAATGAGAGGAACTTAAATTAGTAATTCAGTCACTAAGGTTTTTTTTAATAATTTCCTGTTTTCTTTTTTTACTTTTCCCCTTTTTCTTTCTGTGGTGAGGTACTTACCTAAGCCATAATAAACAATGTTGTCTAGGAGAGTTGCTTTGGTATATCAGAAAACTGTTGTGTTAGAGTATAGAGTGCTTAAGAATTCTGCATTCCAAAAAACATACTGAAGAAGCCTCTGTTTCTAGTGCTCAGGCAGCACAGATCTGATCTCTAAGAATGTCTGGATATTGACATGCGTGCTAATAGATAAACCAAACTCTTCTTTGAAATAATGTTTGTGATATATACAAGTAGCTTAGAGGGGATTGTTGGAGTACTGCCAAAATATATTTAAAAAATGATAAGTTAAAAAAAAAAAGATGAGTCTTTTCACTCATTATGTTGACTTTGGAAGGATTTGTGAACCCCCTTAAAATCCATGTATGTATTAGTAATATTTTATCTTCATATGTGCTTTTTTGAGGGAAGGGGTTTTGCCTCTTCATCACATTGTCAAACGAATTTAGTGACTCCCCAAAAGATTTAGGACTCCTTCCCAGGTTGTGTGAAAATACTGCCTAGTTTATTTGTACTGTTGGTTATAAATATAGATTGATCATAAATTGTTGTAATGAAAACATTATTAACCTATAGTAGTAAATAATAGCATATATTTTAATTAGCAAATTGAGACGTTTCAAATTTAATCATCCCACTCCCTGACATACCCCCTTTCAAGTGGTCTCCTGGGAAGGAGCATACTCTGCTTTCTAGGTCCCTCTGCTCTGTTTGCCTTTTCAGTTTTCGCTTTCTGCACAGTGGCGCTTAGGCTCTTTGATCCATTGTTTCCAGTCTCCTCATTATGCATTCATCACACATACCCTATAAACCTTTAACCCAATCCTAGATCTCTAAATGTGTGACTTTTCTGTGTCTGTAGCCAGACAACTGCTAAAGAAAAGTCACATGTTTGTAAAATTGTCACCACCAAAAGTTCCTGGTCTCCAATCTTAAAAATGTCCATCCTGTACTTCCTGTTGTGTTTTTTTTTGCCCTTTTTCTTCATAGCAGCTGTTTCAAGCCTTTTAATGCCTTCTTCTTCATTCTCCCTACCCAGCAAGTGACCTCACTTCCTATTTTCTTGAAATAAAAAGATTTCATGTTTTTCTCCTTCATAATACAGTAGAAGAGGTAAGTCATCTTTGTATCTAGATCTCTCATTCCGTTTTCTTCCTCCTCCTCCCATTGAGTATTTCTCTATTCTGATTTTTTTTTTAATATGGAAAACTGCAGACCCATAAACGAAAGTAGAGAAAATTACCATTCATGTACCTATTACCCAGCTTCAACAGTTATCAACTCAAAGCTAGTATTTTTTTCATATATATCCCTCCATCCACTCTTCCAAAATTTTTTTAAACAAATCCCAGACATATCATTCTACTGATAAAATTTTCATTGTATATTTTTAAATGACTTAAAAATAATCACAATACTGTTATCCCATGAAACACTCACAGTTTTTCTTTAGTATCATTAGACATTCAGTCAATGTTCACATATCACCAAATGTTTAATTGGTTTGTTTTACAAAAATTGTTTATTTTATACTTAAAAAAAATTTAGATCTAAGTAAGGTCAGTGTATTCCAGTGGTTATATCAGTTATCTCCTTTAATCTATAGATTTCCCTTTCCAGCTCGCTCTCTCTCTCTCTCTCTCTCTCTCTCTCTCTCTCTCTCTCAGTTTCTTTGGAATTTATTTGAAGAAACTGGGTCATTTATTTTATAGGGTTTTTCAGAGTCTGGGTTTTACTGGTTATATCCCTGTGGTGTTTTTAACATATTCTTCTGCCCTTTATGCTTCTTGGTAATTGATAGTTAGAGCCGGAAACTTGAACAGATTCAGATTTGATTTTGTGACAAGAATACCTTATAGGTGTGTGGTGTTATTCTGTCAGGGGATACATCATTCTGGTTGTTTCTTTGTTTGCCTTTGGTTAATTAGGTGGTGAAAACGGTGATACTAAAATTATTCATTCCTTTATTTCTCCTGTGTCTTTTTTTCCTTCCACCATTAACATTTAAGCATCTTGCTAGGTTGAGAAAAACAACAGTCCATAAAAACTGCTTTTCAATATTTCCATCTGTTTCTAAGATATTTTTGGTAACCATCTTTACTTCATCTTTGTGTACTCATCAGCCCGTTTGCAGTGCTGAACCATGCTCTTAACCATTTTACTGAAATCATTCTCAGCAGGGTTATCCGTGAGCTCTATAACAAGTGAAACAGACCCATTTCATACCTTATTTTGCTTGACAGTTGGGTAACTTTGGGTACTGTTGATTGTCTCTTCTTGAAATATTCCCATATTGACTTGTGATATGTTCCCTCTCCTTTTTACTTTTACCTCTTTAATTGCTTCCTATCAGCCTCTGTTGTAGACTCTTTTAAGTGTTGGTGTTGCTCTGCCTGGCTCTAGTCTAATTATACCATCTCTAAGCAGGTAAGTAACAAATCTTTTATTCCCCCTTAGGTTGGTTCTTTTTAGAGCTGACATATCTAAAGATGGAATGATTCATACTTCTTCATCCCTCCACGTATAGTTCTACTTATTTCAGCTTGTTTCTAACCTAGAAGTTTTTTGAGTTGACTCCTTGACTGACCTTTTACTCTCAGCCTTCTAGTTCTCTTTACTGCTGCTATTCTAGTGTAGATCTCCATCTTCATTGCTGCAAACATCTTATCTGGTTTCTTCCTTTCCCGTCTTTATGGTCCTTCTTCACTATGAAAACAAGAGTGATTTTTCTTTTAAAAAAAAGGAGGGGCTCCCCATTATTCCTAGGATATATTGTAAAGACCAGAGCTTGTTTTCTGGCCTAGCCTCTGCTAATTATCTCTTCAGCTTTATGTTGAATCATCATCATCTGCTATTTGGAAATACTTGTCACACATTTCACACAGTTTTAACTGCTTGGCTGACTCTTCCAGAAGACTGTAACTTCTTCAGTGTAAAGACCAAGAAGTCTTTTCTTTTCCCTCATTAAACATGATGCCTGGTTCATTGTGTTTAGTGTATGTTGAATGGATAAATTTGTGCAGTACACTATTATATTCAATGATTTCTTTATATCTTGGTTTTATCCTGATTAGGTCATGCTAGTATTCTTTTACTATTGTAATTCTTGTACATTAATTTGCTTTTTTTGTCTAGAGGTAGTCTCTCCATAGTTAAACTGAACCTTGTAACATACATAATATTGTGGAGTTAAAAAAAAAATATTGTGGAGTTTTTTCATTTTTGCTGCTGCTTTTTTACTCTGATTTATGTGATTAATGCTGTCAGTGGGTTACTGTTGTCCCAGATAATAGAAATCTGTACACAGTTCACATTGTCACCAACCTTCTTGTTGGAGTATATGAGTTCCTAGGTGGTTTGGCTTGGTGTGACAATTAAGACTTAGAAAAGTGAGGCTAAAATTTAAGTGTTCAAACCTGTGTTGACCTGTGCAGTTCAAACCAGTCTTGTTCACGTGTCAACTATATTTCCCAATTACAGTGGAAATTCTGTCTAGCTATTTTTTTTCAGGATATCACATACTTTTGTTTTCATATGCTTGTTCTAATGTTTTATGTTAGTAAGATTGATAGTAAATAGTTGGTGTGATAATGAGATCCTTCCATGTTTTTTTCCAGATTTACGTATTTTTAATTGAAGGGACATTGTTTTGTCTAGCTATATTTATACAGCGTGTTAAGACAAATTGTACTTAGACTTTTAAAAAATAGAGGAGATTTGAAGAATAATTCTTCAAGAAATAATTCTTGATTTTTCTTTTATCTACACTTATTCTCATTGAACCGATCGTGTGTTGCAGGTATAAATGGCTCTGAAATATTAACAAGATTAGAGAATTGGGTTGTTTGAGTACAAAGAAGTATATACTCCATTCAGTTTAAATACATACTTCTTAAGCATTGAACAATGCTAAATTATTTCTTGATTAAATGTATTGGTTAAGAGGGCATTAGATTAGCTAAATAGTTTATTTACATTATAAATAATATCAGCTATTGTAAGATTACTAGTTGCTAACATTCAATCTTGAATTTACTTTATTTATGGTTAGAACCTTTGACTTGTGGGCAGTTTGTGCAGTACTTATATTTGTTACTTTTTTCAGATAATACTTTTTGTAAATTAGAAAATTTGTTTTTGTCCTTAAGGAAAAAGTGTTTTCTTCTCTAAAAGTTATATGTTAATATTTGAAATTCAATAAAATTGAATAGTGTTGTTTTGGCTCAGTTAACTGTTAAAGATCATTTAAAATGCATAAAATGACTGTTTTGGCATTGATTTTCACAGTAGGTTAAAAAACATCACCTGGTATTCATCATATTACCATCATGGTAAACCTCACCTTTGATAGTGCATACAGCAAGTAATAATTTAAGAATAATTTAAATTCTAAGTGAAAGAAATAATCTTTCTCTCTCTCTCCTTAGGTGGAATGAACCTTACTTGTTGAATATCTCCTGGTTACACGTTGGATTCACTTGTGAAAGAATCATTTTCCCCTGCGTGGAAGCCACTTAGTGGCTTATTTAATTATAAATCCAGGGATTGCAAAGCTTTTTGATTTTCCAGAGGAGGGACATACCACTATATCAAATAAGCTTGATATTACAGCCAAAATGGTGCTGTCCCAGAGACAACGAGATGAACTGTAAGTTTCTGTTTTGTGTTTTTTTTTTTTTTTTTTCTTAAATCCTCTCATAAAAGACAAAGTAGTAGATTAAAATACAGCTTTGAGAGATGTATTCTAAATTAAAACTGTTATAAGAGTTCAAATATTGGTTTGGGCTATTTGGTCTATTAGAACTGGGTCTTATCTTGACATAGTGTTATTTACCCTTTTGACATTATCATGTGTACTTTTGAAGCAGAGAAAACAAGTAAGTTATTTGGGATAAGTTTTATTCTAACCTTGTCTTAACTATCTTATATTCAATAGGAAGGTAGGTGCTTCAAAGCACTTCAAATTTTTTTTTTTGTCTGGGATCCATGTATTAGAAAAATGAAATCTTTTATGTTATTGTCACTGCTGATGCCTTTCCTTTTTGTCTTACTATGTTTTTCGTCTTTTATCATCCAGTGGCTATTGTATATGAACTTTATGAAGTG